TTATAATCATTGTAATGTAACAACGTGTATGATTTGTTCAATGTAAAACTGATGATCTGCCCTGTAAACTTTCAGTCAATCCACAATAAAAACCTTTAAAAAAACAAACAAACATGAATACTTTGTCTGTATAAACAAGCAAATGTATGTTTACTCATAGCTCTGCCAGTCACTGGCTGGGTGACCTTGGCCAAGTCTCAATCTTTTCAAGGATAAACTGAGGTCTGAGTTTCCTCATCTATGAAGGGATGTGCTATATTAAACATTATATAATGACTCTGACCTGGTGTGATGCTGCAGGATACGCACTAGACTGCTAACAAAAGGTGGAGTGTTCAAACCCACTCACCACTCCTAAGCAATCCTATATATAGGGTCACTATGAATCAAAATTGACTTAACGGCATTTAACAACAGAGGCTGGCCCTAGCGAGTGCTATATTTTAAACTGCTACCACACAGTAAACAAAGCATAGGATTGGGGAGTCTGATCAATAGAGATTAAAATTTGGTCTCTCCTGCTAAGTCTGTGGTTCTTACACAAGACACTTTATCACTGAGTATGATTTTCTGAGTAAACTACCACCTTATATACCTGAAATTGGACCAAGAACTTTATAAACCAAAGAAAACCCACAGATGCTATGCAGCTGGCTCGAACTCATAGAGAACCCCCTATGTGTCTCAAAGTAGAACTGTGCTCCATAGTTTTCAATAGCTCCTTTTTGGATGTAGATCACCAGGCCTTTCGTCCCAGGGACCTCTGAGTGGACTTAAACCATCCACCTTTTTGTTAGCACATACATAGTGATGGTGGTAGTGGTGGCTGTGTGCCACTGAATCGGTTCCAATTCACAGCAACCCCGTATATGGTTTCCAAGGTTGTAAATCTTTGCATGGATTCAAACTGCTAACCTGGCAGTTAGCAGTAGTCCACTATGCTACCAAGACTCCTTTAGCACAAAGTAGGTGCTTTAAATATTCAGTTGAAAACAAAAATATGTGCTTTACATCACAAGGAGTCAAAAGATCCAAGGATAAGTACCGAGTACTTCCTGTCCTCCAGGGGCGTCCAACTGGTCTAAACAAGAACCTTGTACACTCTTGTCCAGGGAATGGGCTGGGATGACGTCACAGAAGACTAGGTAGCCTGGCCTGCAGTCAAGAAAGCCAGGGAAGGATTTTAAATGAGAGATGACTTTATCAGATGTGAAGACGAAAATGTAACCTCTGAAAGTCTTCAGCACCATGTGGGGTCTCCGAGACTTGCAGCAGATGGATTAAGCCAAGACACAGTGCTTACTCTCAGGAATCAGTCTGGCCCTCAGTCATATAAGGGGCCAAGTAGCTGCAGATTACTCAGCAAATGACAATTTATATGAGACCAAACCTGTTGTTGTTGCTGTTATAGGATTTGTTAAGTGATGCTGTGTCAGTTCCAACTCACAGCAACTCTGTACAGGGTTTCCAATTAGCTGATGGGTTTGAACTGCCAACCTTGTAGTTAGCAGTCCAGTACTGATCCTACAACACCACACAAGGACTCCTGAGCTACCATAATTAAACACACTACAATTTCAAGACTCTTCCCACCTATTTCCAAAGGAATTCCTGACTAGATCAAAGGGTTTCAAACTGAGTGTGTAGTTGTTGTTAACTTACCTAGAGTTGGTTCCAACTCACAGCGACCCTATATAGGGTTTTCGAGGATTTTAAATCTTTGCGGGAGCAAAAAGTCTTATCTTTTTCCTGTGCAATGGCTGGCAGGCCCAAACCACACCTATTTTTTCTAAAACTTCTCTGCTAAAACAAACAGCAAACATTTTAAAGGAACAACCAGAATTTGCTGGCTCCGCACATCTGCATCACACACATACACTAACAGCTGTAATTTTATGTTGTTTTACATGTCATGGTTCCATTTGTCTGGAGGCAAAAGTGTTCATAATACATATATTGGAGTTACACAGCACAGAGTGTGTTGGTGGTTATATGCCATGGAGTAGGTTCTGGCTCACAGTGACCCCATATAGGGCTTCTGAGGCTGTAAATCTTTACAGGAGCAGACAGACTCATCTTTTTCCTGCGAAACAGCTGGTCATTTCGAACTACTGACCCTGAGATTAGCAGCCCGATTCATAACCACTACACTACCAGAGTGTGGTGTTCTGCAAAAGCATGGTTTCCAGGTACTCCTGAAGGAGTGCTTTTGGAGGAGCCTTGGAAAGTCAATATATCATTACAGCATTCAATTCTTCTTATATGGGAGTATTATCAAACCACCTAGGGAGGAAACTCAATTTCCCATTCACAGCCATCACAAAAGTATAAACTTGTGGGGGTGGGGGTGTATTAGCTTGCCACTCAAACCAAAAATAAAAAGATGCAAAACCCAATTTGGGATCAAGTTAATAAGTGTTGAGACAGTATGCAAGAGAGACCCAGGTTCAATTCAAGTACAGACATCACTTGTCAGTGGAGGTTTGCATGTTCCTAACATGCAACAGGTTTCAGCAGCACTTTTCTAGACTAAGATGTCCTGGTGGCACAGTGAGTTATGCCCACATTGGGCTGCTAACTTCAAGGCAAGCAGTTCGAACCCACTAACTGCTCCTTAGAAGAAAGATGAGGCTGTCTGCTCCCATAAAGATTTACAGCCTCAGAAACCCTAAGAGCAGTTCTACTGTGTCCTATATATTCACTACGAGTTGGAATCAACTCCATGGTAGTGAGTTTTCCAGACTACATGATTAGGAAGAAAAGCCTGGTGATTTACTTCCCAAAATCAGCAAATGAAAACACTTTGAACCCTAACCATCAGACTGTGAATGACTCAGGACCAACTTGAAGGCAGCTAATAGTAACAGTGATGGTGGTGGTGGTTGTGTTCCATGGAGTAGGTTCCAACTCAAAGCAGCCCTGTACAGGCTGCTGACTTTACAGTTAACAGCCCAACTCATAATTCCCTACACTATGAAGGCTCCTTCACAGAAATAGTAAGTCCAAGCAAATTATTTAAGGTATTTAAATAATTTAAGGTGATTCAATAATGTCACCAACACAAAAAAACAATTGTTGTCAAGTCAACCCTGACTCTGAACAACTCATGTGTGTTAAAGTGTGTGTATCAAAGTGTGTGATTCAAATGCCTTAAGGGAGTCAGACCATCTGGCACCAATTCCAGTTGTGTCGATTGATAGCTATCTATCCCTGCTCTCTCTGCCAACCTCAATAGAACCTAAAGCATCTGTAAGCATCAATCAGGAGAAGCTGTGAGTCAAGGAACATACACAAAAGAGGGAGTTTCATTAACAAAACTGCAAGGAAAGAGAGGGAGAAACTGAAAATCACTGGAAACTAACAATGTTATCTGGGTTATAAATTTAAATACGACTCGTTTTTCAAATTCCAGCTTATACGATTCATCCAGAACTGGATGACATTTTGCAGTTGCACGCAAGTATCCACAAAACGTTTGCTTACAGTTTATATTTCTCCTCTCTACTTGCAATTGCAGCTCCCAAGACTTGTTTGTGTATTACTATGAGAAAACAACAAACATTCAAAATTCTTTTCTAAAGTAATTAAGGAAAAAAAAAAAAAAAAACACCAAGCGCCTTTAACAAGGACGTTTCAATGGGAAAAACACTGATAACTTTTTCAGAAATCCTTTCAAAGATAGTCCTCACCCTCTCCCTTCCCCAAGGGCAGATTTTATAACCCATCCAGACTTCCACAATAGACAACAACCACGTGTTACCACCGAGTCAGGGAATTTATAGCCACAAAGACAGAAATGGCCGATCCCAGTTATTATACTCGGGGTCCAGGATAATTAGGGATTCTGAAATAATGCCAAAGAAATCTGTCGTCACCATCACTATTCCACGGCATGAAAACAAAGTCATATTCTCATCAGCAAATACAAGCTGTGGAAATACAAGTACTATTTTGGTGGGGTGGGAGTGGAGGGGAAGTTGCCACAATCAGCGCTTCCGGGGAATGGTTCCAAAGTTGCAGAAGGTGCGGTTTACTGGGCTGGCGCGGGCGGAGTGGGGAGGCGCCGAGCGCTCGAGGCCACAGGGGGTGGGCGCCTCAGACCCGCAGGGCGCGATCCGGCTGGACGCGGCAGGCACTTTCCTGCCCCCGCACAGACGCGCTAGGGCCCCGGGAGGCGACTCGGCGGGCGGGAGACGCGGTGTATCCCGGGCTGCCGAGGGCCGGGGCGGCTGTGACGCGCGCCCGCCTGCGAGTCCCCTTTCGCCGGGCTCTCGGGGAGGCCGACCATGGGCGGATGGGCCGCCGCATTACCTTCTCCTCGCCATCATAGATGCGCACCCCGCGCTGCTGGATCACCAGGGTCTCGTTGATCTCCAGGAGGCCGCTGGTCCACAAGAACCGGTCCATGGCCGCCTGGGCAGCCTCCACCACTCGCCCGCGCCGGCGCTCCGAGGCCAGGAGCTGAGTACCGGGCAGCCTGCGGCGCCCCCTGGCGGTGGGCGGGGCAGAGGCAGCTGGGAGGCGAAGCTGCAAGTCCCAGGACACCAGGTGGAGCGCGTGCTGCTTGAGGGTTCGCCTGGGACTTGGAGACGTGCCTAGAGCGCCCCCTGGCTGTCTTTCTTCCAATGGCCATTTTGACCTGGCCTTCTGCCCCAACCTTTGACCACCTGCGTCACAAACCCAGACCTAACAAAGGACTTTGAAGGAGCTGTGAAATAAGCACTGAAACACAAGGTGGGTTTGAACTGCAGGGTCAGTGGTTTAAACTCATCAGCTGCTCCTTGGGAACCCTATACAGGGTGACTATTAGTCATAACAGACTCAACGTCACTTAACAGGATAGATGATAGATAGATAAGATAGATAGATGTATATATATATATAGAGAGAGAGAGAGAGAAAGTCCTGGTTGTGGCACTGTGGGTTAATGCGCTAGACTGCAATGTTATTTGAACTGCAAGGTTGGTGGTTCAAGCTCAACAGTCGCTCCTTGGAAACCCTCTAGAGGGTCACTATGGGTCAGAACCAACTCTATGGCACTTAACAACAACATACATACACATTTAAAGGAGCTCTGGTAGTGTAGTGGTTACAAATCGGGCTGCTAATCTCATGGTCAGCAGTTCGAAACTACCAGCTTTCTGCGGGAGAAAGATGAAGCTTTCTGCTCCCGTAAAGATTTACAGCCTCAGAAACCCTGTACAGGGTCGCTATGAGTAGGAATCGATTCCATGGCACTTAACAACAACAACAACAACAACTACAAATTTCTCCCGCGGAGCAGCTGGTAGTTTCAAACTGCTGACCTTGCGGTTCGCAGCCTGATTCGTAACCACTACGCTACCAGAGCTCCTAAATTTGTAGTACATACATGCAATGGAATACTATGTTACTATAAAGAATAAAAAGTCCACAAAACATCTAACAACATGAATAAATCTGCAGGATATTAATACTGAATGATGTCAGTCAGTCACAAGAACACAGATTGTATGAAACTACATTTTAAAAGTCAGGACTGTGCCACATTAGGACTATATATATATATATATATATAGCCTTTAAAAGTTCATGGAATGATTAAAGGATCAATTGAATAAGAGGACATAACCATAATAAACATCTAGGATACCAATTAAAGAGCTTCAAATTATATAATCCAATCTCTAATAGGACTGAAGAAAGAAATGAACGACTTTCCACAATAATAGTAGGTGATTTTAATACACCACTTTCTCTGAAGGACAAAACAACTAGAAAGAATCTGAACAAAGACACAGAAAATTCAAGCAACACAATCTACCAACTTGATCTCAAATAGAGAGGACTAGACCCAACAACAGCACAATTTACATTCTCCAGTACACATGAGGATTTTTCCAGAATAGACCATATGTTAGGCCACAAAGCAAACTTCAACAAATTTTAAAGCATCAAAATTCTACAAAAAATCTTCTCATATCACATGCTATAAAATTAGAAATCCACAACAGGAAGATTAAAGGAGGAAATAAAATACATGGAAATTTTATAACACCTGCTTAAGAGCTATTGGGTAATAGAAGAAATTTAAAATGAAATTAAAAAATTCCTGGAATCAAATAAGAATGAAAATACTACATACCAAAACCTTTGAGACTCAGAAAAAAAGCAGTGCTCAGTGGGCAATTTATAGCAATAAATGCATATATCCAAAAAGAAAAAGGAACCAAAAATCAGCACCTTAATCCAACATCTCCAACAATTAGAAAAGAGCAGCAAAGTAAGCCTACAGCCAGCAGAGGGTAAAAAGGAAATAATAAAAGATAAAGCAGACATAAAATGACATAGAAAACAAAAACAATGAAGAATCAACAAGATAAGAAGTTGGTTCTTTGAAAGGATTGATAAAAATATACAAACCACTGGCAAACCTAACAAAACACAAATTATGGGTGATATCACAACAAAACCAATGGAAATTAGGATAATAACAATACTACAAAAAATTGAACTCCAACAAATTTGATAATCTAGAAGATACGGAAACACATTTTTAGAAATACATGATCTACTTAAATTAACACAGACCGAAGTAGAGACCTTGAACAGATCATAACAAAAGAAGACTCCTGGTATAGGGCTACGGTAGGATCAGCACTAGACTGTGAACCTCAAGGTCGGTAGTTCAAACCCACCAGCTGCTCTCTGGAAACCCTATACCGGATAGCTATGAGTCAGAACTGACTTGACAGCACTTAACAACAACAACTAACAAAAGAAGAAATTGACCAAGCAATTTTAACCACCACCACCCCAAAAAAAAAAATCCCAGGCACAAAAGGTTTTACTGGTGAGTTCTATCAAACATTCAGAGAAGAACTGGCACCAATTCTCAAATTATTCCAGAATAGAGAAAAGGATAGACAGCTCACAAATTAATTTTTGAAGTAAGCATAACCCTCACACCAAAACCAGGCAAAGGCATCACTAAAAAAGAAAATTATAGACCAGTATCCCTCATGAGCATAAATGTAAAAATTCTCAACACAATACTAGTCAACAGAATCCAACAACATAGCAAAAACATAATACATCGTGATCAGTGGAATTCATGCCAGGTATGCAGGGTTGGGTCTGTATTAGAAAAGCAATAAGCATAAACTCCCACAAAAATAAAACAAAGGAAAAAAACCACAAAATCTTATCAATGGAGAAAAGGCACACAATAAAATCCAAAACCCATTTCTGATTTTTAAAACACTCAATAAAATAGAAATACAAAGGAAATTTCTCAACATAAGTAAGGGCAGATATACAAAACCAATGGTTTCCTGGTGTGACACTGTGGGCTAATGCATCAGACTGCAAAATTGTTTGAACTGCAAGGTCGGTGGTTCAAGCTCACCAGCTACTCCTTGGAAACCCTATACAGGGTCACTCTGGGTCAGAATCGACTCGATGGCACTTAACAACAACAACAATACAAAACCAATAGCCACCATCACTCTCAATGTAGATAAACTGAAGCCATTTTTCCCCTTGCAAACTGGAATCAGACAAGGATGCCCTTTATCACTACTCCTGTTCAATATTGTGCTAAAAGTGTTAGCCAGAGCTATAAGACAAGAACTGGAAATAAAAGATATCCAAATTGACAAAGAAGAAGTAAAACTCTCCCTGTTTTCAGATGGCATGATCCAATACTTAGAAAATTCCAAAGACTCAGCAAGAAAATTATTGGAACTCATTGAAAGATTGAGCAAAGTGGCAAGGTACAAGATCGACATACAAAAATCAGTTGGATTCCTTTATACTAGTAAAGAAAGCTCTGAAAAGGAAATCAGGGGGGAAATACCATTTGCAATAGCCACCCAAGATGAAATTGCTGCTGTTGTTATGTACCATGGAGTCGGTTCCGACTCACAGCGACCCTGTACAGGGTTTCCGAGGCTGTAAATCTTTATGGGAGCAAAGATCCTCATCTTTCTCCCGCGGAACAGCTGGTAGTTTCGAACTGCTAACCTTGAGGTTCGCAGCCCGATTTATAACCACTACGCTACCAGAGCTCTACTTAGGAATAAATCTAACCAGAGGGAAAAAAGATCTATACAAAGGAAACTATAAAACACAATTAAAAGAGACCTACAAAAATGGAAGACTTATATTGTGCTCATGGATAGGAAGATTTAACATTGTGAAAATGTCAATACTATCCAAAGCAATACTACCCTAAGCAATCAATTACAAAGATGTAATGCAATCGCAATCCAGGTTTAAACAATATTCTTTAAAGATATTAAAAAACCAACTTCATATAGAAAGGAAGAGATCCTGGATAAGCAAAGCATTACTAAAAAACAACAAAATAGGAGGTCTCTCACTTTCCGATCTCAAAACCTACTACACAGCCACAGTAATCAAAACAGCCTGTGCATAATGAAAAGCATGTAGATCAATGGAATATAATTGGGAACTCAGAAGTAAATCCATCCATCTATGCTGAGTTGATCTTTGGCAAAGAATCATGTACATTAAATGGAGAAGAGATAGTCTTTTCAGTAAATGGTGCTGAAAAAACTGGAAATCCATTGGCAGAAGAATGAAACAAGACCCATATCTCACACCATACACAAAAAACTTGGGTGAAAAAATGTTGAGACCATTGATGCTTTCCAAAAAGTTTATGAGGACAATGCCTCAAAGAAATCCACAATTTACAAATGGATAATTCATTCTGAGAAGGCAGGAGAAAATGTTTAAAATGAAGCCTTGTTGCAGCAGATCATCCACATCCATTTTCAAAGAGACATCTTGTTTGTGGCCTCATTGAAGAGGTTCAATGATTAACAGCAGAAACAATAATCTCCACTACACACAAGACTAGTTCTGCTTACACACTTCTGACTGAAAATTAAAGTTGAGCAAACTTTCTAATCAATGAGTACCAAAATTCTTGTGCCCGGATCAGCTGCAGACAAGAGCAGAGCTTTCAGTGGAAATTTTAAACAAGTGGGTTCAAGATCCTGAATCATCTCTTCAAAGAATAGTAACAGGAGATGAAACATGGCTTTGTCTGTATGATCGTAAATCAAGACAATGATTCCCAAAAGATGTAAGTGATTCAATCAAAGTAAAAGCAGACAGGTCAAGAGCAAGGGCCATGGCAACAGTTTTTGGGGAGTACTCAAGGCATTTTGATTATTGGTTTACTGAAGGGCCAAAGAATGATAGCATCGGTTTATTATGAGAGTGCTTTGAGAAAGTTAATCAAAGCTTTAGCAGAAGAAGTTTCTCTGGAAACTTCACCTGGCAGCCCTTCACCACGACAGCGCTCCTGCACATTCTTCTCATCAAACAAGGGCAATTTTATGAGAGCTTCATTGGAAAATCATTAGTCATATAACTTACAGTCTTGATTTG